ATATAATATTATATCATGCAGCAATTAATACTTTCATGACTTGACGCATAAAATCTAAATCAACACTGTCCTTCTCAGTAGCTAGCTGCTTCGTACTCCAACTAAACTAATCATCAAACTGTACAGAGTCCATGGTTTGCATTCGGATGCATGGCTCCAGAAGAATTCTGACAGGCATATAGACACTCCGGGAAAGCTGAATGCACAACTCTTTAATTCCAAGAAAACTAGAAGATTTATGACACAAATCATATGCTACAGACAGTGAGAACAATGTGTGACCAACCTCTCGTACATTGTGTGTGTGTGTGTGTTGTTGTGCGTCGAAATAGATAGATTCTATTCGTAAAGAACAGTCAGCAAATCGACAGATGACTGAAGCGCAGCGCAGAAAATTGACGCCTGTGATCGTCACTCTTGATCTATGATTGTCCTGTCCAACATATTTGGCTGCATCGCAAAGTTCATAAAGAAGCAGATTTTTCAGTGGCGTTTATTGGCTGAGTGTTCTTCGAAATCGAGTAAAATGGGAAGTAAATTGCTTACTCTATAATATCTTTCCAGCAGATCATGTCGTCAGCGTTAGATTCACCTGGATTGAGTCCATGCCAATCCTCGAACGGGATCGAAGCAGGCGAGTCCATCGGTGCCGATTCTTGGGGAATCGAAATTGGTGGGTGGATGGAACGAGCTGTGGGAACGGCACAGGAGCTGAACACGACTGGTACGGCAATTCCACTGCAACTCTCCGTCTTCGTCCCTGTTTGGAACGATGAACCACCGGGATTGGCCACGGCCGAGAGGTCAGGAGCAAGTCCCACAAGCTGCTGGTTCGGTTGGGCGCAGCCGAGGGAGGCTGCGGACAAAGGATTCATGGCATCGATACTGGGACCAGCAGTCGTGGCTTGGATCAGCGTCTGGAGCACTCGGAGCCTGACCAAGTGCACAGGATCTGCTTGAAGCCCAGGAGCATCGCTCGAAGAGCTGCCCAAGTTTCCAAGGCCGGTGGCGGCAGCAAGAAGAACAGGGAGGAGGGCGAGCAGGTCGAGATCAGTTCTGGGCGCATGGGTGACTGGGTCGACGCCCATAAGGAGGAGCTTCTTCTTGAGATGGGTGTTCCAGTAGTTCTTGATCTCATTGTCTGTCCTTCCTGGTAGACGCCTGGAAATGGTAGACCACCTGCATGAATACATTGCTATAAAAACAGATACAAACAAGTTGATAGCTCAACTGGGGTTGACGAGGAAAGCTGATCAACACGTACTTGTTTCCGAGGATGGAGTGGAGGTGAATGATGATCTGCTCCTCGTCCTCGGAGAACTTCCCCCTCTTGACGTCAGGACGGAGGTAGTTGGTCCAGCGGAGTCGGCAGCTTTTGCCGCACCGGTTCAGCCCGGCATTCTTCGGCAAGTTTCGCCAGCTCCCATGGCCATGCCGCTGGATGTACTCCACCAGCTTCTTGTCCTCCTCCGGCGTCCACGGCCCCTTCTTCACGACCATCTCATCGCAGCAAGGCGGCCTCCCCATGTCTCCCCTGCAAGACCCAATCAAGGGACCGAGAAGATGGAAGACAAACCTGAGCAAGAGAGATGGTAAGGTTCTGGTAAGTGATGTGCTGCTCTTATAGGGGACGTAGTCTGACTACCCGACCACTCGGTCAACGCAAGCGGACATGGTTTTATCTCCCAGCAGTGTTCTATATTTCTTCTTTCTAAATGTAGGGAGACTCCCAGCTCCCAGGAAAGTTTTCGAGGGTGTGCATATTCTACATCTGCATGATACCAATTTGGTTAGGACAAGAGGTAGAGAGAGAGAGAGAGAGGATGATGCATCGGATCCCGGTCCCTTGTGGCAGAAGGCAGCCTTGGCCTCGGGGCTGGGTTTCAGGGGAGTGCACGTAAGCAAGAAAACCGATGAGAGAGTAGGTTTAGGTTGCATCAAGCAATAAAAGAAGAGGTGATGGTTCAACCATTCGATAGCTATTTGTCCGACGAAGTTCTCCGTACATGCTGTATGATAGGGTTTATTCCTGCTAACTAATCAACTCGATAACACCTGATCTTGACAGCATTTTGTTGAGTGATTAATGCACACCCTTTCTTCTTCGATCATCACTACGACTGTTGTTGTCGCTGCTGTATGACTGCACTTGCTCCTTTCTTCTACAAACTGCAACAGGCAATTTCCTTCCTTTTTGTTTCAATCTGTGAGATCAGATACTAATCTGTGCTAGTGATTCTTACCGGTACTCATGCGATTGAGGCAAAGGCTTAATATCAAAAAAGACGGACGGATTCTGAAGACCAGGTTACACATATCTCAGAGGCAAGTGAAGTTTGGTGGCCTTTGGCACCAACCTTGGAGGAACTTGTTCTTCCGAAGTAATGAACCTGGTAAAATGGTACATGGATAAGAACACTGCTGACTTTCTCAACTCCACCCAATAGTTGCAGTACCTTCTGATCTCATCTCACTTCTTGTGGCCATCTTCCGTAGGTTTACACCTCCTACTCTCCGAGCAATCATCTTAATCTATATATCATCCACTACGTCATTAGATATAAAGCATGATTTAACCAAAGAGAGGTGTCACGGTTTGGGCATGTAGGACTGGTATTTTCCTCGCTCCATCTGCAACATCAACAAGGGTAAAAACCATTCAAGAGTTTGCTAGACAATGGAGTTGCCTGCAAGCCACACCATGTCCATCTATTATGCTTGTCCAAGTCTGCGTTTGGAGTGTCCCTTAATCAGCCGGACAACTTGGACAGAGCATGACTTCACATACTGGAATGATTGATCACTGCATCTACCACATGGAGACAAGTGCATATAGCGCTCTCGTCTTTCCCATATGTCAGCTGATGGGAACCTTAATCCAACGTGCTTTGCCAGCTTTAGGTGTTACCCCGTTCTTTCCTTAGCTGCAAAATCTAGTGTGAAGGAGAAGGAAAAGGCAGAGCCGCTGCATCTTAAACACTTTCTTCTTCTCTGTGTTTCGATAAGACGTATTAATACTTAGTTGAATTCTAATTAAGATTATTAACCAATAAAAAGAGAGTCGTAATCTTGATATATTATTTTGAGATTCTATTTAGATATTATTTCTAAATTTTTTATTCTTACTTATATAATAATGAGAGAACCTTCTTGAATTCTAATCGTCCATCTTAAATATCATTATTATAGTAATTTTATGAAAAATAGAAAGAGAAAAAAAAAATTTGTTTTCTTGTACTGCTTTACTACGTTAATGGTATTACAATTCAATTACAATTAGTTTCATATCGAAGGTAGACAAGATTAAGATTGATTTATAGGAATTTAATAAATATATATATATTAATTATTAAATTATATGATTCAATAAGATATATTAAAATTAATTAAATTTTAATTAAGATTATTAATTGCACATATCGCTAATCTTAATGTCTTAAGACATTACTTGCACATATCGCCACCGTTATAATATTCTCCATCGATCTATGACTTGTTTTTTTTGTCTAAAGAAACCTAGTGAACAATTTTAAGATGTCATGTGAGTTCCACTCCGGCAAGCAATCAAACTGGTCCTCAAAAAAGTGACCGCCGGATGGAGGAGTCGGAATTTGAGGACCATAAAAAAAGAAGTGTCTCATCACATCAAATCAATCTCCTCACTTACCTCTCGTACCTTAGCAAACAAAGAAGGAAGTGTCCGAAAATATTATCGAGTTTCATCCATCGGATGAAGCCATATGCTTGTGTATTCAGGACGTTTGGGGAAAACGTGGAAGTCAGTCCATCCTCATCTGCATCTGAAATGACAATGCGACGTCTACGACGACTTGGCACTCTCGAGACCAATCAGGAAGTTCCTTCATGTACTCACGCACACACTCATAAGAACTTGCTTGATCATCCAATGTCTACGATGCTACAGTGATGAACATAAGATATACCAGAGCTGTTAGAAAATAAATAGATAAACAAGTTGTTGATTGTTATTAACATATCCCCTTCCTTTTATACAGGTTAGAAGGGAGAATTTTCCTCAACAGGTTAAAGGATTTCCCTCAACAGAGTAGAGAGATTTTCTCAAACAGTTAGGGAAATCTTATCTACTTATCATGCCCCCACAAGATGGTACTTCGATCAAGGAGGCCAATCTTGGACAGATGTAATGTAAAAAGTTTACGAGCTATAGGCTTCGTAAATGAGTCGGCCAATTGATCAGCCGTATGAACATGAGAAACACGAAGTTGACGGCGGATAACTTGATCGCGTACAAAGTGGAAGTCAATAGCAATATGTTTCATGCGGGAGTGGAATACCGGATTAGCGCACAGATAGGTAGCTCCAATATTATCACAATATATTGTAGGGGTAGAATCGATGTTGAGTTCCTGGAGTAGATTCGTGATCCAATTGAGTTCTGCAGTGGTAGCGGCAATGGCACGGTATTCAGCTTCAGTTGTAGACCGGGCGATTGTCTTTTGCTTCTTAGAACTCCAACTGATTGGATGAGCACCAAGGAAGATAATATACCCCGATGTGGATGTTCTATCATCAAGGTTACTTGCCCAATCAGCATCGGCAAAAGTATGAAGACGAAGTGGAGAGTGTTTACGGAAAAAGGGACCATGATTTAGGGTCCCTTTAAGATATCGTAGAAGTCTCTTGACCGCATACCAGTGTAGAGTAGATGGTTGCTGCATAAACTGTGATAATTTGTTGATAGCAAATGAGATGTCTGAACGCGTGAGAGCTAAGTATTGTAAAGAGCCAACAACTTGGCGGTATTGAGTGGGTTCCATAGCAGGACTTCCATCCGATAATTTGAGAGAACCATTAGTAGAGATAGGGGTTGTAACTGCATTTGCATCCTGCATGTTTGTCTTTAATAACAAATCTTGAATGTACTTGCGTTGTGATAAAAGGAGACCGGAAGACGTGAAGGTAGCTTTGACGCCCAGAAAGTAGCTCAAGGGTCCGAGATCCTTAAGCGAGAATCGAGCTGCCAACTGTTTGATGAACGCTTGGATGCTGATGGGATTGTTGCTTGTGACAATAATATCATCCACATATACCAGAATATACATTGTGTTTCCATGATGATGTCGCAGAAACAACGAAGTGTTAGATTTGGAGTTAAGAAAGCCGATAGAAGTCAAAAATGAGCTAAGTTCAGTGTACCAAGCTCTCGGAGCCTGACGAAGTCCATAAATGGCTTTCCGAAGTTTGCAAACATGCTGTGGATACTGAGGATGAGTAAAACCGGGGGGTTGTTGCATAAAAACATCTTCGGATAGAGATCCCTGTAGAAAGGCATTATTAACATCCAATTGTCGTAATTGCCAGCCTTTAGTGGTAGCCAGACTCAAGATAAGCCAGATTGTAGTGGGTTTAACAACAGGACTAAACGTCTCAGTGAAATCAACTCCAGGTCGTTGATGAAACCCTTTGGTGACCAGGCGTGTCTTATATCGGGCAATAAAGCCATTTGGGTTCCGCTTAATTCTAAAGACCCACTTACACCCGATGATGTTTTGTGAAGGATGGAAAGGAATGAGATCCCACGTTGAATTATGGAGGAGGGCATTATATGTTGGAAAATCATGGGGGCGACATCATATGCGCAGTGGAAGAACAAGAAAACAAAATCCCTGATTCCCAAAAAGATGTTCGTCGTCGTGCGAAGATTGGTGCGCAAAATCCGCGAAACTCAAAACTGCGTATAGAGTATATTGTGTTACCTAGGGAGATCGTATATCCCTGTTTCCTTGCAGATCCTTAGGAGAGGGTGAAGGAGGTCAAGCGTCCTCCTCTCTAGCGGTGATCCACACAGTAGGGTTGTGACGACGCTCCTCAAAACTCCAGGCCTGCTCTAAGGTGGAGAGGAGAATAGGAAAGGCAATCAAAGACTCTAGCCTATGAGGCTCTAAATCCCTCCTATTTATAGAGGTCCCCTGTCAAACCCTAATGGGTCCTCCCCTAGTGGGTATTGGATTTGCATCCAATAAGACAAGGGCTCCGTCGGATATCTCATATCCGAACCTCTACTCATCGCAATACCTACCATATGTGTGTGACCCTCTAGGCCCAATATCGAGCTGGCCGTGAGTCATACCCGTCAGAACTCCTTCTAACTCAGTGAATTATTATCTCTGTAATAATTCACTTGACTCATCGACTACGGACGTACTAGGCCACTACGCCGTAGTCCCCAGACGATACAGGGGAATCCAATCCATTGGACTTGTCTGTCCTCAGTTACCGTGTACTTATAGTCCCTCATCCATCTAATATCCCAAAGACCGTATATCGAGCATGGTGTTGTCAGACCCATACGGTTTCTACTCGAGTCTCGCTCTAATCAGATTCTCCCGGAGAACTCTTTCTCTCTCAACCCGAATGACCCTGGCCAGGGATTTGTCTGAGCAAGAACACATGGGATATTCCTCTCATGACGCCGAGAGTGGATGATCCTCTATCGACACTCAATAGCCCTTGTAAGGTCGACTATCACTCCCAATGACCAGTTGTACTAGATCTGGGACAGCCAAACCTATAAGTCTGGTATCAAAGAGTGGAGCACTCATACAGGACATCCTTGGTGTCTCAAGTCTAAGGACCAGATACACCACTAGGACTACGGAATCGCTGTCTGGCAATAAGGCATCATTAACCATCCAGCATTTCGTAAGCGGATCAATCAGTGAACTCATTCTCCAATGAGCACCTGTACTGTATCCCTAGTGTCCCTACACAAGCAGCTATGAGACCAACTGCATCCATCATATGGACGGGTATAC